ATGCTGTGCAACAGCCGCCAAAGGTTTTAGAACTTTATGGTCAGTACGTAGGGCTTTTAGCCATATCGACGCTAATGCGTTTTTTTGACATTGTATACAGTGTTCGTGCGTCTGAAACTTCAGTACTGCATACAAGCGGCTAGCCCCCGCTTAGAAAACGATAATTGGCTTTTGAGAAAGGTTCAGAGAAGAGCAACTAAGCTGATTCCCGGAATAGGAAAGTTGCCGTATGATCAAGCTAAACCTACTCCTGCTGTCATATCGAAAAACCAGAGGCGACTTGATTACAGATTTCAAATTGATTAGTGATAAATTAACACCTTATATGCCCTCACTTTTCTTGTCTCCCAAAGCAGAAAATTTACGACTTACTTACGCCTGTTACCCCTCGTCGAGGAGCATATGCCGCTCACCAGCATTCTCCATTCAACTCTGTCCTAAGCCTTCCTTTTCAGTTGTTATTCATCCTTTTCATATCTGCTTCTATTTCCCGGCGTAATGTGTTCATTGACCTTCCTCTTTTCCACTTTCCTTCCGGATTCCAACGTCTTTTCCTAATCTCCTCTTCAGCTGGAAGCTGGTTTGTCCTCTCCCATAAAACACTTTTGCTGATAGTATCCGGCCAATGGATGTTGAGTATTTTGCGTAGACAACTGTTTATAGATACTTGTATCTTCCTGATGATGGTCGTAGTAGTTCTCCACGTTTCAGCTCCATACAGTAAGACTGTCTTGACGTTCGTATTAAAGATTCTGACCTTGGAGTTGGTTGAGAGTTGTTTTGAGTTCCATATGTTCTTCAATTGTAGAAATGCTGCCCTTGCTTTGCCAATCCTTGCCTTTACATCTGCATCCGATCAATCTTGTTTATCAACGATGCTTCCCAAGTACGTGAATCTTTCCACCTCTTCCAGAGTTTCGCCATCAAGTGTGATTGGGTCGGTGTTCTCCGTGTTGCATTTGAGAATCTTGCTTTTTCCTTTGTGAATGTGGAGGCCTATCGATGCGGAGGCTGCTGCTACATTTGCTGTCTTCATCTGCATTTGGTCGTGTGTATGAGAGAGGAGGGCTAGGTCATCTGCGGTGTCCAAATCATCTAATTGATTCTGAGAAGTACATCGTATTCCGTATTTCCCTTCAGATGTCGAAGTCTTCATAATCCAGTCAATCACTAGAAGGAAGAGGAATGGGGAGAGTAGACAGCCTTGTCTGACTCCGGTCCTTACTGGAAATGCATCTGTCAGTTGTCCTCTATGTACCACTTTGCACTGTAGTCCATCGTATGAGTTTTGGATAATGTTGACAATCTTTTCAGGAACTCCATAGTGTCGAAGAAGTTTCCACAATGTTCTCCTATCCACGCTGTCAAACGCCTTCTCATAGTCGATGAAGTTGACGTATAGTGATGAGTTCCACTCAACTGATTGTTCCACGATGATCCGTAGTGTCGCAATCTGGTCTGTGCACGACCTATCCTTACGGAATCCAGCCTGATGATCCCTAAGTTCGGCGTCTACTGCGTCTTTCGTCCGATTCAGCAGCACTCTGTTGAAAACTTTTCCTGGTACTGGTAACAAACTGATACCTCTGTACTTCTCACATTGGCTCAGATCTCTTTTCTTTGGTATCTTGATAATAATAATATATTTCTGCAATGGCAGGCACACGCCATTTTTACAGGCATGATCTACAATTTACAACATATACTGGTTCACAGTATGCATCTCAAGCAAGGTTGTTTAGTAATTATAATCTATAAAATTTGATAGCAGTTCATTCGTTCAGATATAATGTGTTTTCATAAGAATAGTTTCCAAAGGGGCATCGCGTCCACGTCACATACCAGATCCAATCTCGACAACAAATGTATTAGGGTTTCGGTCGTGCTAAGTATTTATGTAATGCAGCTTTTTAAGTTTATAGTTGTTATAAAGTAGACTTGTGGAGCGCCTGGTTCGAGCTATGACCTTGGGAAAGCGCGATCGTCGAGCTTGTTCCAGATGTCAGAAGTTACATAGCTTCACTCTCAGAGCAAGATTCTGAAGGGAAGAAATAAAAGGAAAAAGAAACAGAGGAGCAGCAAGGCATTTGGATATGAACGACAACCAATGCTTAACATTTATTAGTGGAACAGATGGAGGTGTGATAAATTATTAGATTAAATTGATACTAGCTCATGTTGCAAGAGTGAACTGCGATTAGGGGCTCCAGAGGAGAGAATGCAGTAATAAAGAACAATGAGTTGTGATACTTATCAAGGTGGAGTAGGTTCATATGAAGGAGGGAAGTCAGGGTTTGAATGAGGAAGAACAGAGAGTGCATATAGAGATGAGGTATCCTTCTTTTCAGTCCAATGGCACTTGTTCCTCTTCCCAAATCTTCTTGAATAGAAGGTGAAGCATGTTTGCAGTTATTTCAATGTCTGACTTCAGTGCTTCTGCTGGTATATTGTCAGGTCCTGCCGCCTTCCCACTTTTGATTTGTCTGATGGCCATTTTGACTTCTTTGATCGTTGGTGGAGTGACATCTATTGGAAGGTCAGTGAGTGCTGCTTCAACGTCCGGTGGATTCAATGGGGCTGGCTTATTCAGCAGTTCCTCAAAGTATTCTGCCCATCTTTTCCTCTGTTCTTGAATCTCAGTGATTGTCTTTCCTTCTTTGTCCTTGACTGGTCTCTCTGGTTTGCTATATCTCCCTGCCAATTTCTTCGTTGTATCATATAGTTGTTTCATATTCCCTTCTCTAGCAGCTTTTGCCGCCGCCGTTGCTAGTTCTCTCATGTATTTCCGCTTGTCGACTTTAATGCTTTTCTTCACTTCCCTGTTTGCTTCTGCATAGTCTGTTTGTGCTTTGACTTTCTTTGCTCGTGTTCGGATGTTGTTATTTGCTAGTTTCTTGTTCTTCCTTTCTTGAATTTTGTCCAGGGTTCCCATAGGGATCCATTCCTTATGATGATGCTTCTTAGGACCAAGAACCTCCTGACACGTTGAAGTTAGGGCTTCTTTTATCCCTTTCCAGTTGTCCTCCAAAGTAGTTTCTTGTTCTTTCAGTAGGTCCTGTAGAGCTTGGAACCTGTTGTTGAGAGTTATCTTGAATTCATGGAGCTTGTCAGTATCTCGAAGGAAGGCTGTATTGAATTTTTGTGGTGCTGTTTGTCCAGTTGTCCAGTGTTTCTTTAGCTTCAGTCTCATCTTGGCCACAACCAGGTGGTGATCTGAACCTATGTCAGCTCCTCTCCGGGTTCTCACATCTTCCACTGATCTTCGGAATTTTTTGTTGATACAGATGTGATCTATCTGGTTCTCTGTGGTTTGATCCGGCGAGGTCCATGTAGCTTTGTGTATGCTTTTGTGTGGGAATATGGTGCCACATATGATCAGTTTATTGAAGGCACATAGGCTTGCAAATCTCTCACCATTTTCGTTCCTTTCTCCCAGTCCATGTCGTCCCATGACGTCTTCGTACCCAGTGTTAACCATTCCAACCTTAACGTTGAGATCTCCCATCAGAATGGTCAGGTCCTTGGTTGGGCACTTGTTAACGATCGACTGCAGCCTATCGTAGAATTGGTCTTTAGCGTCTTCATCGTAGTCGTTGGTCGGCGCATAGCATTGGATGACGTTCATTGTAATGCCCTCTCTCTTTGTTTTGAAGGAGGCTTTGATGATCCTTGGTCCATGAGATTCCCATCCAATAAGCGCATTTTGTGATTTTCTGAACGGCATCAATGCAACTCCTTGTGTATGTGGGCATTTTCTTCTTCATGACCGGAGTATAACAGAAGTTTTCCTGAAGATAGTCGTTGTTGTCCAACCTGCGTCCAATGTGTTCCACTGATTCCAAGCACCTCCAGGTTGTATTTTCTCATTTCTGCAGCAATTTGGAAGACTCTTCCGGTCTCCCACATTGTCTGGACATTACATGTACCTATACAAATTGTCGCTCTAGTTGTAAGAAGGTGCATCGGCCTCATGAATTCCGGAGGAACTCGGCTTTCATCATGAGACGTCATAATTGTTCCTTCAACTCACAGGGCAGAGTTTAAATGGTTTGAATATTTTTTTCTGGTTAGCATTTTTTTAGCGAGTTGGTTTCTACAAGATGGGGTCGCTAACCCGATGCCCAACCCTCCTTTTTTTACCTAGGCTTGAGGCAGGCAGTAACCCCCAGAGGAGCTACAAGCGGAGTTAGAAAAATTTTAGAAAATTTACGATCACACCTCAAAAAAGCTCACAATCCCAGAACAATCTACTTGTCAGCTGACTATCGACTTTCCCATCGAATTATGAGCGACTGCAATTTGTAGACCATCACCGTTGTTGATCTACGTCAAATGATTGGAGGCCTACTCGAGTAAGAGGGAAATGGTGTAACGAACAAGCTAACTTCGAATACACACCTCGCGACCAGCACCTTACGTGGATTGCCCTGTCGACGTGTCAAGGGATCATGGACTCTCCGAAGACTGTAAAACCTAAAGGACGTTATTACAGGAAAATATTAGTTGAAGTTGATACAAGCGAAAGTAGAACCACTGCCACATGGGCCAATCCATGGCGTATGATTGACTGCTGCGCGTTGATTGTCCTTGACCATGGCGGGGATCGATGATCTGTTTGATATTTAGTGAACAAACTGACGAATGATTTGGCTAGAGTTCAGTGACATTTCACTGGCATTACAAATTCATTGCTCCAACACGTGGTTGAGGTTCCATACATCGACACTTTCAAAAGAAAGTTGGATCATCTGATAGACCACCACTGTCAGGGCTAACACAGGCCATCAAACCTCTTGTCTTTACTAAACTGAGGCTGAACCTGAAGCTTAGGTGAATCATACATTTCTGCATTAAATTTCCCTCTACCCCCTAATATCACGTACCGCTCAGCATCGACCACTTAACCAGTTCCAACGATCTGGATAAAATGCCCACTACATGTTGCGAAAACGTATTTACACCGATGTTTTTACTAGCCAAATCATTAGACACGGGAGCCAGTTAAGCGAAAGCTTCTTCTACTCAATCCTCAACCATTTGAACCATTTAGAACACATGCATATCATTCAAGTAGTGCGTTACATATAAATTTCCCGTAAGTATTCACTATAATTACTAGTGTACATTGTCGATTTACTTCATGTTTATCTGATCAAAAACATAGGTGTTAGGGTTATTTATATCAGTGCAAATGCTTTAGATGTATATTTTAGTGCGGATATCATTAAACCTTAGTATGCATACTAAAACATTACAACTGCAATTATTACTAGCATTCAAACACTAACTATTTTTAATGCATGAATACATCTAAGTGTATGATACAATGGTCCGAATTTTTTGTTCTTTGCGGCATGAAATCTAAACAATTTATTAATGGAGATCTTCATATCTCAGATTCAGATTTGTGTAGTAAGGATAGAAGGCCATGTTATTTCCTATTCTAGTATGTTCCAGTGAGTTCCCAGTCTTCTCTTGAATGAGCCAATTGAAGGTGCAGACACCATTGCTTCGGGAAGCAGGTTCCAAGTATTGATGGTTCGGTGTGAAAACCTGTATGCTACGGGTATTTTCTTTTCTTCGATTTTCTCCTCTTCTGCTATCTCCTCTGAGATGTCTAGGTCTAGTGGAAAAGCAATTTAGTTAGGTTCAAAATCATTTATCAGTATTCTGTACATCAAAGTAAAGTCTCCCCTTAGTCTGCCATAGGACAAATTAAAGAGTTTCAGCTTTTCAAGCTGCTCTTTGTATGATAAACCCAGGAGTTCTGGCATTGCACGGATAGCTGCCCTTTGTACTTTTTCTAGAATATCCGAGTCGCCTTTTAAAAAGGAGCTCACAGCCTGAACATAGTGCTCAGGTTTTATTCTCACTAGGGTTGTGTATACTATAGTGCAGTTTAAATACACGTCTTTAATGATAATGATATAATTTTATAAATTAATCAGACGGAGATACTAGCTAGAAATACCCTTACGATAACAACAGAACACATTGTACTGTTATAACGTCTCAGTCAGTCAGTAAGCTAAAACGTAGGACCAGGAACATTTATGCATCGGTCCAAGTTGTCATACCTCATTAGCACAACAAGATGAAAACACTGAATTCATGGAAATAGTTAGTTTAATAGTGGTAATATATAAAAGAAAGATTGTATAAAAGAATACAGTACAGGAAGGAAGAAAAATATGGAGCAATTGTAATCTTTTAGTTTAAGGGAAGACAGAAAGTGTATACACCTACGCCGTTGTGATCGATTCTGAACCACGTCACACAGACTCTCCAACCATTGGTTACGATAGTTAAGCAGACTCCAACCAATTAGTCTGCATCTACCAACATAGCTCAGACTAGCAGTTAGTGGCTTTAAGCACTGATGACACATCTTTGTTTGGTCGCCCCCAAGCTCTCTTCCAACCATCCCCTATACGCCCCCGAATGCCCTGGTACGGCCGAGAGTTGGGAGAGTCCGCTCTCCCTCTCGAAATGCTCTCACATGGCCACGTGTATATAGCCTCTGCCAGGGAAGTCCTACTCACTGCCTTCTCGTGGCACCGGTGTTGTTTACGAAACTGAGAGGAAGAAAAGCGAATGTCCGGCGCTTTAACCGGATTGGTGGACACGGAAAGTTCACTTAGGGGAGTTGGAAAACCCTGATTCCAAACCAGTGGTCCACATGGGCTCCAGTATCTTGAGGGAACAAATGGCGTGTAAATCAATCGTTGGTCACCGGCTATCATGGGACCGCATCTCCTCACGATGCTCCACTACCTTGTGGATCGGATCTTTAGGCCAAAGGCTCGGAGTGTGGCCCCCTAAGAAAACCACCTGCTTCAGTATGAGCACCTGAGCAGTATCACAGCCTTCACACAAATCAAATGAGATGTGTGCGGCGCATATGTATCTGGTGCTTCCTTGTACAAATATTTATATGTTTAAATAAAATAATAAATAATCTCCTATAGTAGTCAGCATTGCGCGTCGTGGTAATCGGCGTTCAGGCATACGTAACACGTGACCCAACCATCTCAGTCGGTGAAGGTTCACAACCTCATCAACTGATTTACCATCATTCCCTAATACCCTGCGTCTAACCTCACTATTACTTACCCGGTGATCCCAGCAGATGCGAGCAATATTTCTAAGGCATCTGTGTTCAAATACTAGTGACTTACGAGTATCTTCTATTCTTAGTGGCCACATTTCGCAGTCGTAGAGTAGAACAGAGCAAACTGCTGTGCAGTATACTCGTCCCTTAATTGATAGACATATATCTCATCATGGGACTGCATCTCCTCACGATGCTCTACTGCCTTGTGGACTAGACCTTTTGGTCAAAGGCTCCGGGTGTGGCCCCCGAAGAAAACCACGTGCTTCAGTCTGGGCACCTGAGCAGTATCACAGCCCTCACACATTTTTTTATTTTATTTTATTTAAACACATAAATATTGGTACAAGGAAGCACCAGATACATATGCGCCACACACATCTCATTTGATTTGTGTGAAGGCTGTGATACTGCTCAGGTGCTCATACTGAAGCAGGTGGTTTTCTTAGGGGGCCACACTCCGAGCCTTTGGCCTAAAGATCCGATCCACAAGGTAGTGGAGCATCGTGAAGAGATGCGGTCCCATGATAGCCGGTGACCAACGATTGATTTACACGCCATTTGTTCCCTCAAGATACTGGAGCCCATGTGGACCACTGGTTTGGAATCAGGGTTTTCCAACTCCCCTAAGTGAACTTTCCATGTCCACCAATCCGGTTAAAGCGCCGGACATTCGCTTTTCTTCCTCTCAGTTTCGTAAACAACACCGGTGCCACGAGAAGGCAGTGAGTAGGACTTCCCTGGCAGAGGCTGTATACACGTGGCCATGTGAGAGCATTTTGAGAGGGAGAGCGGACTCTCCCAACTCTCGGCCGTATCAAGGCATTTGGGGGCCCTCACACAAATCGAATGAGATTTGTGAGGCGCATACTTATCTGGTGCTTCCTTGTAGCAATATTAATGTGTTTAAATAAATAAAATAAAACATCTGAGAAGTCCAAATCGTCTGGTTGCACCCAACCTGTCGATTGTATTCCGGGCTTCCTCTGTGATACAGAGGTTGACATAATGCAGCCAAACACCAGAAGGAAAAAGAAAGGGCAGAGTAAACAGTTCTATCTGACTTCGATCCTCACTTGGAAGGCGTCTGTCAGCTGTCCTCCGCGCACGACTTTGAAGTGTAGTCGGTCGTGTGAATTTCGGATGATGTTGACGATTTTTCCAGGTACTCCATAGTGTCGAGGAAGGTTTCATAAGGCTCTCCTATCCACACTGTCAGATATTTTCTTACAGTCAAGTATTTTTATGTACAGTGATGAGTTCCATTCAATTGATTGTTAAACGATGATTCGTAGTGTCGCGATTCGGTTGGTGCACGACTGATCCATACGGAATCCGACCTGTTGATCACCAAGTTGAATGTCTACTGAATCTTTCATCCGTTTCAGCAACACTGCTGAAAACCTTTCCTGTTACCGACAGTAGTGTGATGCCTCCGTAGTTCTCACGTTCTCTGTCAGTTTCTTCGTCGTGACATAGTTGATTCATATTTCCCTCTCTTGCAGCTTTTTCTGCTGCCGTTGCTAGGTCTTCCACATATTTCTGATTGTCGGCTCTAATGCTCCTCTGCACTTTTTTGTTTGCTTGTGACTTGGATTTCTCTGTTCTTGTTCGGCTGTTGTTAGTCGCTGTCTTCCTATTCTTCTTTTCGTGAATGCTGTCCAGGGTTTCGATATAGATCCGTTACTTATGAGGTGATGTTTCTGGTGACCCGGCACCACCTATTACGGTGAAGTTAGTACTTCTTTGACCCCCTACCAGTTGTCCTCAATGATAGCTTCCTCTTGCCTTAGTAGACGTTGTAGGGCTTGTAACCTGTTGTTGAGAGTTATATTCAATTCGCTGAGTTTATCAATATTTCGAAGGAAGATTGTATTGAGACTCTGTAATCCTGTTTCCACATTTTTCCATTGCTTATTTAGCTCCAGTTTCATCTTGGCAACCACCAGGTGGTGATCCGAAGTTATGTCAGCTCCTCTCCTGGTTCTCACGTCTTCCATTGATTTTCTGAATTTTTTGGTGGTGCAAATATGATCTATCTGGTTCTTTGTGGTACGATCTGGTGAGACCTATGTAGATTTGTGTATGTGTTTGTGGGAAATATTGTGCCACATATAACCGCTTTGTTGGATGCACGTAAATGTGCGAATCTGTCACCATTCTCGTTCCTTCCTCTCAGTCAATCCATATCGTCCCATGATACCATCACAGCCGTTGTTGGCCATTCCGACTTTGGCGTTCAGGCCTCTCACCAGAATGGTTAATTCCTTTCCTGAGCACTTTGCTATGATCGATTGCAGCCTCTCATAGAACTGATCTTTATCGTCGTCATTGCTATATTTGGTGGGTGCATAACACTGGATAACATTCGTTATAGTTCCCTCCTTCTTTGTTTTGAAGAACGATTTGATGATCCTACATCCATGAGATTTTCATCCTATAAGTGCTTAACGTGCTTCTTTGAACAACGTCAGTACAACTTCTTGTGTGTGCGAAGCATTTTGTTCCTCATGATCTGAGTACAACAACTTTCTCCTGAATATAACTTTTTCTGTTCAGCTTGGATTCCCCTTGGTTTCACTGATTCCGAGCACCATCAAGTTGTATCTTCTCATTTCTGTAGCTATTCAATTGGTCATCTCGGTCTCCCGCTTTGTCCGGACATTCCATGTACCTATATTAATTGTTGCTCTGGTTGTTAGAAGGGACATTGACCTCGTGACTTTCACCATGAGGCGTCATAATTCTTCCAAATGAAGGTCCTTCAGTTCGAAGGAAAAGGTTTAGGAGGTTTAATTTGTTTATTCTGGTTGGCGTTTTCTTCAGCAAGGTTGTTTTCTACAAGATGTGGCTGCTGACTCCATGCCCAACTTTCCTCATTTACCCGGGCTTGGGACTGGCAGTAACCGTAGAATATCTGCAGGACGAATTTTATTGGCTTTCGATTAATTTTATTTCGCCACCCATTGTTTTATCCATAACTAATATATTCCTATATTTTTCCGCCTTCTTCAATGGACATTTATCCTGCATTATACCCTTCTTAATGCTCATATTTGATTGACAACCTATACTCTATACTATAGTTATTTAAAGTATTTCATCGACGCCTTACCCGAAGTTCATAATTTGTAACTGCCTGATAAGTTTGTAATATATATATATATATATATATATATATATATATATATATATATATATATATATATAATTCTTGACGTGGTAGTCGGACTTGCCTATCCTGATGAATCCATGGAGTTATATTGGCTGGAACATATGTCCCCTTTTTGTTCCCTCGGACAACCAGCATAACAGCTATGCTACCTTGGGGTTAGAAAAGTCGACTCTAAAAATGAACACCTCTCCTTATTCCAGAGATATCCATCTCCGGCGGTAAAGTCTCAACAAGTAAGGAGATAACACAAAAATTTCCTACAAAAAGATTGTCTGACCGGCCTCAAGCAGTTGTCCCTTGGGCACTGCGGTCACGCTCTCAAGTCACTAAAAACAACTCTAACCCAAATTCCTTTTCAGGTACTTTTAGAAGACCTCGCCACCATATTGTCATCAGTCATCGTTGGAGAGTCTCTATAGAAGACTGTTGCTCGTTCTGGAATACATGTTTACACTCCGATCATGCTTTAAAACGAGCACGCGTTTGTTTGCGCCTCACTGGATGCAGAAAACCCATACTAAGAAGACCTGTTAAAATTGAACTCAGTGATGAGAAAGCTAAAAGTAAGTTTCAGGAACAACTGAGTTCACATTTAGGCAGTTCTGTAAACGAGGCTGACCCAGATGTTAATTGGTAAGATATAAGAACAGCTTTGAAATAGAAGTAACATATAATAGTAATTTGAACCATATGGCTCCAAAAAACCAGTGGATTTCTACGTCTATTTCACAGATGGATTCTTGTAAACTCATCCCACCAGGATCTGAACACGAGGAAAAGCGTAAACAAATCAGATCTAGGTTAACCGAAAGTCTACGGAACGATCGTGAGCAGTGGTGAACAACAAAAGCAAGAAATGGAAAAGGCAGCGGCTGTAGGCAACATCAGGCAACTCTTCAGACTAATAAAAGAAACCGGAATTCAGAAGTCAGGTGTAAGCGAAACAGTCTCGGAAAAAGTCGTAACCCTTATTTGCTCTCAGCCCAGACATTTAGAACGATGGGCGGAACACTTTAAGGAGCAGTTCAGCTGACCTTTAGCTACTGCACAACTACCCACTATTCTCAAACAGTCAGAATGAAACATTGAAGTAGGTCCCCTGACCCTAGCTGAAGTTCAAAAGACTATAGCTAATCTGAAACGAGGAAGAGCAGTTGGCCCAGGTAGATTAGCTCCAGAGGTCTTTAAATGTGGTGGTTAAATTTTAGCGATTAGGTTGACTAATATTTTGGCTAAAATCTGGGAGTTGGACGTAATGCCGTCTGACTGGTCACAACCACTTGTTGTCCCAATGTATAAGAAGGGGTCAAAGTCATCCTGTGATAACCATAAGCGGATTAGTTTGACTAATATAGCATCTAAAATACTAGCCTCAATAATTATCAGACGCCTAACCAAGACTCGTGAACTGCAAACACGAGAAAATCAGGCTGGCTTCAGACCTGGTCGTGGCTCTATCGACCACATATTCACTATTCGTCAGGTTTTAGAACACAGACATGCTTATCGGCGTCCGACAATGATAGTTTTTCCTGACTTAAAAACAGCATTTGACTCTGTAGACCGAGAGGCTCTGTGGCAGTGTCTGTCATTGAAAGGTGTACCTCAGAAGTACATAAACCTTGTGAAGGCTCTTTACTCGAACACTAGCAGTCGAGTGAGAAATTATGGCGAACTGTCATCTGATTTTACAACCTCAAGTGGTGTCCGACAAGGCTGTCCACTATTTTTATTTTTGTTTAACTTCATTATAAACCTACTGCTGGAAATAACGCTCTAGTCGACTGAATTTTCAGGAATTAATCTCCTACCAGGTGGTCCACTTATCAACTTAGAATACGCAGATGACATAATCCTGTTTGATGAAGACGCTGATAAAATGCATAGTCTTTTGGTAGCACTGAGTAGCAATGCAAAAATGTTCGGAATACGTTTCTCCCCCTCTAAATGTAAATTGTTACTCCAGGACTGGTCTGTGTCAACACCTGAACTAAGAATAGGGAGTGAAGTAGTCGAACGCGCCGACAACTTCACTTATCTTGGAAGTCTGATCAGTCCTAATGGGTTGTGTCTGACGAAATCTCTGCACGGATTTAAAAAGCTCGTTTGGCTTTTGCCAACTTATGTCACTTATGACGAAGATGAGATATATGTCTATCAATTAAGGGACGAGTATACTGCACAGCAGTTTGCTCTGTTCTACTCTACGACTGCGAAATGTGGCCACTAAGAATAGAAGATACTCGTAAGTCACTAGTATTTGAACACAGATGCCTTAGAAATATTGCTCGCATCTGCTGGGATCACCGGGTAAGTAATAGTGAGGTTAGACGCAGGGTATTAGGGAATGATGGTAAATCAGTTGATGAGGTTGTGAACCTTCACCGACTGAGATGGTTGGGTCACGTGTTACGTATGCCTGAACGCCGATTACCACGACGCGCAATGCTGACTACTATAGGAGATTATTTATTATTTTATTTAAACATATAAATATTTGTACAAGGAAGCACCAGATACATATGCGCCGCACACATCTCATTTGATTTGTGTGAAGGCTGTGATACTGCTCAGGTGCTCATACTGAAGCAGGTGGTTTTCTTAGGGGGCCACACTCCGAGCCTTTGGCCTAAAGATCCGATCCACAAGGTAGTGGAGCATCGTGAGGAGATGCGGTCCCATGATAGCCGGTGACCAACGATTGATTTACACGCCATTTGTTCCCTCAAGATACTGGAGCCCATGTGGACCACTGGTTTGGAATCAGGGTTTTCCAACTCCCCTAAGTGAACTTTCCGTGTCCACCAATCCGGTTAAAGCGCCGGACATTCGCTTTTCTTCCTCTCAGTTTCGTAAACAACACCGGTGCCACGAGAAGGCAGTGAGTAGGACTTCCCTGGCAGAGGCTATATACACGTGGCCATGTGAGAGCATTTCGAGAGGGAGAGCGGACTCTCCCAACTCTCGGCCGTACCAGGGCATTCGGGGGCGTATAGGGGATGGTTGGAAGAGAGCTTGGGGGCGACCAAACAAAGATGTGTCATCAGTGCTTAAAGCCACTAACTGCTAGTCTGAGCTATGTTGGTAGATGCAGACTAATTGGTTGGAGTCTGCTTAACTATCGTAACCAATGGTTGGAGAGTCTGTGTGACGTGGTTCAGAATCGATCACAACGGCGTAGGTGTATACACTTTCTGTCTTCCCTTAAACTAAAAGATTACAATTGCTCCATATTTTTCTTCCTTCCTGTACTGTATTCTTTTATACAATCTTTCTTTTATATATTACCACTATTAAACTAACTATTTCCATGAATTCAGTGTTTTCATCTTGTTGTGCTAATGAGGTATGACAACTTGGACCGATGCATAAATGTTCCTGGTCCTACGTTTTAGCTTACTGACTGACTGAGACGTTATAACAGTACAATGTGTTCTGTTGTTATCGTAAGGGTATTTCTAGCTAGTATCTCCGTCTGATTAATTTATAAAATTATATCATTATCATTAAAGACGTGTATTTAAACTACCAAGTTCCGTTGATTCCTATCGGTTGGAGTTAGATAAGACTGTTTTAATTTCTTTAAGATTTGGGAAACTTTTTAGATTTCCACTTTCGTAATTTGAAAGTCGTAGGTACCTATTAAACTGTTTCTGAAAGTCCTCCACATATCATTTTGATCTCTTGGACTTAAAAAGGGTCACATTCCTATTTCTTTGATGAATCAAAATAGTTGTCTGGTGTTGCATATCGTTACTTCCGTTGCCCACCATTACTCGTGACCATTGCGTAAACCTTTTTTGTTCTACATTAAGATTGTCATCGCTGTTTATCGTCCTCTCAGCCTACCTAAATGAGTTTACGAGCGGACGCTGATCTAGTTGGATTTTCCTAGTCATTTGGTTTAGGTTCCCTAAACACAATCAACTGCAGAGAGGTATTTGAGAAGCAGCGGCTGTTCTGTACATATCTGCACTACTAGTCATTTGTTTAGGATTGTCGTTTGTAAACGTTCTGTACACATTAAGTAGATTTAGGCATTAGAGTGGGCCGCAACATAGCCCCTCCAACTTCACTAACAGCATGACTATGAAGTCATTAAATGTGCAGTCAGTTGATTTTAAGTTTCAAATTATTTGATATTTTTTACCCTGTAGATCTGTTTTCTCTCCTCAAACCATTTTCCTTGCATCTTGTCCTTTTTACTTCAGCTCATACTTCTACTTTGGTAATTTCATTTCACTGTGATGTTGTGGTGTGGAAACTTAGGGTGATGTAGTATGTTCCAGTTTCCGCGCTTCCTGACTTATTAATTCGAAATTACGTTTTTGCTGACTGATTTATATATATATGGCTTTGAAAATGAAACCAATGGAAAGTGACCTGTTTACTCGACCACATTCATATTCACTTTGCACTTCCTCAAACCAGATTTCTGAAGATATTACGTGGTGTATGTTGCTCATATTATTATGTCATTGCGTGCTGTTGTGTATAAACTCGTAAAGATGTTTTTATTCTGGAGTGGTTGTTTGTGATCATCATTTAATAAAACGCCCTTATTCTTAGTTGTAGTTTCGATGTAATTCATATTGTGATTGATCATTAAATTCATTTCCATGTTCAGGATTCCAGTTTTATGTTTCTTTTCTAGGATGAAGCCAGCAGCAATGAAAAAGTTCAGCACCAGTCATTCTTCTCCACTACCACCCAGTGACCCAGGAGCTCCTAAAAGATCAGTGCCTGGACCAACTTCCCCTTGGCATTTCTTCGATCTCTTGTTGTTTTCGACTCTTCGACGACCGATGTTTATTGATCCGGCCATTAAAGCTGGAGTATATCTTTGCCTAGCTGCCGGCTTATCCCTTGTATTCGACTTTGTGAGAGCTCCTCCGACTTACTTTTCTAATAAGCAAAATCCGTTCAATAGGTATTTCGTGAAATTGGGGTGGGCTTGGACATGTGGTTGCCTTGCAGCCTTTATAATCGTGTCTTCCTTTGTATATACGGCTGGTAATATTAAGCTTATGCGCGGGCATATTTTACGCTTGGTCGTTGGCTCTGGTTGCTGGTATACTGTTACTGGACTTATCAACTTAATTCACGATTGGTCTGGTCACTGTCATCCAGTATCGGTTACCTTGCCTAATGGACTCCGTCCTAATCAACGAATATCATGTCACCGAGCTGGAGGTGTTTGGCTAGGATTTGATATATCGGGTCATTGCTTCTTGTTAATCATGTCCAATTTATGGATTATGGAAGAACTAAGTTGTATGCAACACTGGAACAAACTCTCTGAAATTCTGCAGCTGAATAAGAGCAACGAACCAAACCAATCTACTAATACCAGTGGAATTCGTCATGTTTCTCAACAAGAGCTGAACATAATGCGCTCAGCTTATCGAAGATTAACAACTATGATTCGTCTAATATTTTCGTTTACAGCTTGTTTGTCTATGCTTTGGGATATTATGTTTCTTTCAACAGTAATCTATTTTCATACTATGCCGTCAAAGCTTTTGGGTACCGCACTTGGTGTCGCCTGTTGGTTCCTATTTTACCGAGTCATTTTTCGCAGTTGTCCGACTGGATATTGGGGTGGGTTCGCTCCTGGACTGCCTGGAGATGGTCCGATTAAATTTGTACTCAGTTAGATCCTCCAGTAAAATACGAATAGTTACTGTTTGTATAGAATATCACAAAGTTTTCGTAAATAATTTAGTTTAACCTTTCGGTACTCATCACTCTTACTTTTTTGAAAATATATTTTCAGTATAATGTCATGTTGACTGATGAAATCACTGATTTCGAGCTTTTATAACCACCCATATTGTATTGCTGTTCCTTTCAAATATTATAAAATGAAATCCTGGCTTGTAACCATGCAAAATACCGTCTTATAGCCATTACGTACCAGAAACTGAGTTCTTCCAGTCTTTTATATAAATCCTGAGGTTTGTTGAAAAGCGATCGCGTTTTGCGAGATGAGAAACTTCACCCTAGCTGCTCTGACACGTTTATTTAACTAGAAATAGAAGACCAACGAACAAAGTTCACATGCTTGTTTTGTATTAATTGTTGAGGGAATTGTGAATATTACGAAACTAAAGGTTGTGTAAATTAACAAATGTCTCTCTAATTGTCATATTCACCCTAAGATTTCATAGGAAGTTGGCATGCACATAGAAGTAAATGATCCAAAAATTTCAAAATGTAAACCGATTTTTTAACCAACCACCAATGATTAGGTTATGTGGAGTTTCAAATTTACTTTGTGACAGAATTTTCCACTAGCAAGACCCAGAACACTTACTAAACATACTGATTTTTTCACTTATTACATCGATAAGCTTGGAATTGTAGTCTAGGAGTATAGTTTTCCTACTTGAGTGTATAATAAGACGTAAAAGCTGTTTAAATGCTTCTAGTTATTCTATAAAATCATTTTGCAAACATGTGGTTGCTCTAGTATGAAACGGGTTATTCATTAGAAAAAAATTATTGGAACAGTTACTAATAAATTGGTAGGTGTTCATTAGATGTGTTCACGATGAAGTACCTGGACATGAAACTAGGTTAGATATGGACCTTAATTGACATAACCTTTAATATCAACATGTATCTACAGAATTTCTCAGCACAATTTGAAATGAGCCAGAAACTAACTATAGCGTTAATCCAAGGAGTTTAATCAAAGCTATACGTAAAGTTTCCAGAAACAAACAGACACTAGCCATTGGGATCTTCAGTTCAATTTAATGATTCAGTTGTGTAACTATTGGGTTACTAGTTCGGGGTATTCTCCACCGAACTGTTATCCATAATTGTCATGTGAAAACCCCATCAATGTGATAGACATATGAATTATAACAAGTCTTCCTCATTGTATACATGTATTACTTTGTAATACAAGTATATCCTAACATGTTTGTGCCCTAATTTTATGAACTTAAAAATGCCTATGATATTCTCTTCTAGGAGATTATCACGGTCACTAACACTTCCTACTAGTGTCTTATATTTTCATATCCTATTTTTATAAAAATTGCTAAAGTTGACCTTGTGGCGTTCAGTGTAAATTTTAATTCTTCAAATTTATACTGCAAAGTCTGTCTTCGTGCTACGATCTTACTGTACCATACATACATCTTATCTAGCGGAAAACGGGGAAAGTTTTAAATTATGAGATCGAAGCCCATACCTCGAACTTTGGCAAAGAGTTCGATATTAATCAGCTACCAACTCATTCTTTGATAGGTAGTTATGTATCATGATTTGCACAGATTAATAGGTTGTCTGTAAACGCATCTGTATAACAAAGCATTTAACTTGATTATTAACTTTGTGTTACAAGGTTTATACTAGTTCGTAAGCTAAATAGTGACTCGGCTTTTAGCAACAAAAAGTTCGATCCCCACCACACCCAGCTTAGGAATTCCCATAACAAAACTAAGCATTAGACGGTATTGTTAGAAACTGAGTACGTAAACTCTTACTTAGTTAGTGAGTTATGTGGAATTAATTAATAGATGAATCTCATTGAGGAAGAACATAGTTGTATTATTAGCTGCAACGTCAGAACAGTTAAATAGTGCAGCAAGAGAATTTTTATCATCCATGTAGTGAACGAATTGTAAATCCTTGTGTTGAGAATCTATATCATTTAAAATGGAGGGAGTAATTATTTGCAAACCCCGGATCGGTTGATGGCCAGTTAGATAAGTGTTATATTAGTTATTAGCCACATACCAGCTAATACAATGCACTTTGACGTACATTTTTCACGTGACTTTTAAATACACTACTTTAACGCAAATTCGATTTAGTGCATTCAAGTTGAAGAATAAGTTGTTATTTGCTAAATGAATAGGTGAGTTTGGTCCCAACAAACATATAGGGTTTCATTTGTGACCCGAGTAACTCAGAGGCAATGTAAATTACTGTGATAGATTCCCTACCGGATAATCAGATACTTTGCGAATGTGCCTCGGTGACGACTGTCATCTAGCACTGAACAGACTCAGGACCCCTAACTAGGCTTCATATTTAAAATAGTTAACTGGTGTACGGTTTCTAGACTGAATTCTTAACTATTCTTCTCCTTAAGTTTGTTTTATCATTGGAACGAAAGGCTTTCTAATGCTCCTATGTTTTGATTACCCCAAAAACTAGAGTGAACATAAGATGAGAAGTGATTTTATAAAACGAAATTTCAGATAACGTGTAGTCGTATAGTGCGAATCCCAAAGCCATCTACTGTTCGTCCTGAATTTTAACCTGAATACAAGATAGAAATAGTAACAGAGTTAACATAAACTCTGAAATGCAGGTACATCCAGCTGACGAGTCCCAAATAGGACGAAACGCGCTTCCTGGATTCCACTGCTAGCCACTATCCATCTCTGCTTACCATGCTTGTGAATTAAGGCTATATCGAGGCAATACGCACATATGCCAATTAGAGACTGACTAGTTACAGTCCTAACACATCGATGGGAAGATTCAAACAAACAATACTGAATGAATTTACAACTAACGTTTGTTTAAAAAGAATTTGGAAGCTCCTACGCACTTCAGGCTCTGTCTGATAATAATGGAGTTTTCCTGATATCAGAGACTAAAAAACTATATTTTATATTAGAACATTGTTGATTATCAACTACTGATTTCTTTCAAAGCTATACTTAGTTGAGTTCGTTATGCCTCCGATGCACACTTATGTCTTGATATGTCACTGTTTGTTTAACATAATTTCTACTACAGAAATCTGGAAGCTCACTATGAGATAAAAAGTAGAAAACTCATAGGATTTTTAATGGAGAACATAAAATGCTTCCTGGGAGTGTGAACTTAGCTTCCAATTAATAGATAGTATTTATACCAGTCAAGTATTTGATCTGTCTGTGTGCTTTGGCATAATAAATACCATATCCTGTCAGATTTAACGACACTCAATCTTATTGAGATGAGGAGTTGAGTAGAAATCCGACATTATGGTTTTAAGGAACATTTCGTTATGATATATCAGCAGTTGGAGAAAAGATGATTTATTGAATCTCTGCTCATTGAGTCAATACCCAAAGCATGTAGTGAATATTTCTAAAACCATACCACCGTCGAACTCGGGGTGTGATTCGTCAGAATAATAAAAGGATTTGTCCAACAACTGGGATATAATTTGAAACAATAAGTTATGTGCGAAATACTTATTTACCAAACAATTTCGTATCTTTTTGCTATATATCACAAACAAGCAATCATGGGGCTATACGGCACAACTATGCCAACATCACAAACATATCTGCAGTTGTTACACAGATTTTTAGTCGCAGACGATATCGATTCCGAAAACTTAGCAATTATAAGAAGAGGTTTTGGGGATAAATATGAATAGAACTCGAGTATGAGCATAAGCTTACGAGATGGGGTCAGCAATCTTTAGAACAACATTCAAACTTGTAATTCTCTCTCGCTTACAAAGTGGAGATTTCTCCACATCTTCGAACCTGCCGCCCCATAATGTTAATAACTGTAAAAGTGGCATAGCGGGTTAGGACTATTTTGAGGTGGTGTTATATCCCGATAAAAATAATGAATGGTAACTTTTGAAACCCATTTGTGGACTATGCGTATATTTTTATCGTATAGTAGTACTTAAAACGGTTATTATCTTTTTTATGTTTGTGGTTATACCCTCAAAATCCAGTGGTAAGGAAAAAAGCCGCAGTCATTTCAATACCAGCCATAATACTTAGAGGACGAGATTTCGCAAATTAATAAGGATAATACGAAACCCACGGAAAAATTTGCAATTAAAATAACTTTGAAAATATGCTCAAAACTCGCAAATCATTTAATTCCATAAAGTATCATCAATAACTGTAGTATTGGCCCCGAGAATCGGCTGTGTTTGTTATTTAACTCAGGAGCTTTAAGAAACCGTAGAATCTGTTTATAATAGTGAATATTTGTTCGCTTCCTCTTTTAGTACACTGAAATAGATATAACGATGACACAGTTCTCAATCATAATGGGAAATAATAAGTATCGTATGTTAAAGACACTACGGAACAGTACTCGAGGACTGAAATCTTGCCACGTATACATTTGAGCACAAATTCAGTAACATGGAGGTCTGCATTTTGGATTCCATCTTGACTAATATTTTCTGGTGGTTAATTACTGCTAGGACCTAGCACAAATATTTATGGGCCCAAGTTGCCACAGCGCTAGGATGGCTGGTTAAAAATATCAACAAAATGAGGAGTGCAGAAGCAATAACAGTAACAAATGCAACGAAAAGCCACATTACGTGTGCTTTACGCAATATGTGGTGGCCATTAGTACAGAAGTTATAAATTTCTAACGATCGCCGGGAAAAGATGTAGTTCAAACCCACAGAGTCACTAACTTTCGATCTAGGTTGTGTAGGAAGGTCTACGCCTCCTCATTCAGGCTTAAGAGAAAACTAAATTTACTTAGCATTTTTTGTTTGAACCTTCCAAGTGATGTTTAGGACTGCAATTGATCAGTCCCTTATAGGCATATGTGCATACTGTTCGTACTGCCTCGATATAGCCTTAATTCACAAGCACTGTAAGCAAAGATGGATAGTGGCTAGCAGTGGAATCCAGGAAGCGCGTTTCCTCCTATTCGGGACTCGTCACTTGCACAAGCAAGTGGCTATTAGGACTCGGTAGCAAAATGGATAACGCGATGGCGTTTGAAGCGAAAGGTACTGGGTTCGAGTCCAAGAGCGGACATCGACTTTTAGATGCAGGTACATTCAGTTGACGAGTCCCAAATAGGACGAAGCGCGCATCCTGGATTCCACTGCTAGTCACTATCCATCTTTGCTTATTATTAAAGATAAGTGTTCCAAGTTTGAATGATAGAGCAATAAATTAGTTGCAGTTTAGCCGATGTTCTCATTCTTGTTATTCTCGGGTTTAGTATTATTACGTAGTTTATATTAATGAATTTATTTATATATTTTAGATAATATTCATCCAGTTTAGTTTGTCCACTGGTACTTTCATTCTGACTCCTTTTTGTTGAATTCCTTAGGCAATCCAATGTGGTGATGAGCCGATTTACGGTCAGTTTCAAAGCCTGGAAACCTAAGAATGAGGTAACACATTCGAGAAGATGAACTATTTTATTGGTCAAGTTGACAAATGGACGAAAAATCATGCCACAAGAGATTCGTTACATAATTAAAAAGCCTTTGAAATGAAATAAATATATCATAAAATGAAACTATAAAAATAGTTGACGTAGAATAAAATCCAATGATATGCACAAAATGAATCTTGGTAAAGAATTGGAGGGCAATAAATATTATGTACAACATTATACACGAAGTTCAGTAAGTATTGGAAGTTCTGATCGGTATTTAGTTTAGATGCTATTCAATGTTAACACTAAACTTAGTTTAATCATCAACAGTAAGATCAATTGAAATATCAGAAGATAATACAGGAACAGATTGGCCTAATATAGCTGCTGTAATTGGACCAGGAGCTTGTGGATGCAAATACTTTTCTTTTAGCCAAGGAGTAATAGGTTCAATTTTATTTACTGAGTGAGTTTTGTCGATGTTAGTTGAATTACATGAAGTAAGCAGAGTTCCTTCAAACGAAAGACTACTATTAGTGATCGGCATGTTATATATATTATTCATTGATTGTATATCTTTCGAAGCTGTTTCGCTACCATTTACAAAAATGGTCTGAGAAGTATCTGAAATATCAGAGGAAGTAGTGGATGCTTGTATTTCAAGTGTTGAGTGGTTAATTTTTTTAAACTTTCGTTTAAGTTTCGCAGCTCGTCGTCTATCAAGGGACATTATACAAGTATCTGGTTCGTCCGATACTTCATGATTTTCTTCATTATTACATTGAGACACAATATCTTTAGTAGGAGAGTTAGTAATAGCCCTATCCGATAGGTAGATACAAACCTTTTTAATAGATTTTTCTTTCGACTGCTTTTTGCACATATCAGTAGATCCTATTAGCTTACTCATTTTATTATTAATGAAACTGAAATTATTACTAGACTTATTTTCCTCTAGAGGAGGACATGAATATTTTTGAGATTCAGCAAAGGCAACTCCGGAAATGGAATTAATTGCATGATGATCGCAAATAGTTTTAGAATTTATGGAAACTGGTTCGCATGAGTTTGAGGAAGTGGGTAGATCAAACTTCGAAGCTGAGACAGAAACACTTTCATCTAGCAAACCATTCAAATCGTGAGCATCTCGTGGAGGCTGAAGTAATTTGGACTTCGAGTTCTGAGTATCAGAATTATTGGGAGAAATAGTAGGAGAAGCGCTATTCCCAGTGGTGATATCTTTATCAAAAATGGATAGAGATGTATATGGGGGTATTTCAGCATGTTCATTACAAGTCTTTTGTAGTGAGTTTGATGAGTTTGGAATAACTGTATTACCAATCTCTGGAAATGTGATCGAATGGTTTACTACAACTGAAGACGGACCTGAATAGCCGTTCTCCATTTGATTGGTATCGCATGCTGTCAAGTTCTTGAAAGTTGGTGTAAATGATATTTGTGCATTGTTTTGAAATAATGGATCATTATCTTGAGAGACTGTGAGTAAGCACTCAAGAGGTGATGAAATATCATCTGTAATCTGATAATCTTGATTAACATCTGTCTCATTATGAGCATTAAAATATTGTGTATCAACTGAATCGGCACACTTTTTTGATTCATTGTCACTTAAAATGGATGTAGGATGATCTTGACAAGGTTTATACAAATTTTGAACACATGATTCCACCAGGGCTGCTTCTTTAGACGATTTTTTATTGATGTCTGTTAAATCAAACTCCGACCTACTGTTACTGACACCAGTAACTAAAGGACTATTTGCAGTAACAAAAGAGGGTGGATCACTGTGTCTAGTTTCTCTGATGTCTGAGTTCAACAAAGTTGAATTGTTTTTTATAGTCGACTGAGTAGGTAAACTTTTAGTATTTGATAATTTTTCAGTAGTTCGATGACTGCAAAGATCTGATGATGCAAACGTAGATGTATTCGTAGTCCTATCAACTGAACGAAATTGGTCAGAAGGGTTGAGAATATATATATCAGGTACACAGTTAGGAGAATGATAACTGACAGTTTGAGGTACAGGACATTCAACACTTAAATCTGAAGTAACATTGACCTGATCGCTAGACAACGTTTCACAAACAAAGTTATTGTTCAGTGAAAAATGACATGCATCAGCCTTATGGCTATTATTATTAACCATAGAAGGGAACTCTATGTTTAGGTTAGAACTGGGCATTTTAGTCGATGTATCCTGCGAAAATGTCAGTTTTGAATAGACAAACTCTTGTGTATCACTGCTGAAAGAAATTACGTTTTGATTTGTATGTTCCTGTGGTTTTGTTCGGACTACATGTTGAGTAAGAATAAAACTGGGACGAACTGGTGGCCAAGATGATAGCGAAGTTATGCCAGGTTCTTTCAGAAGTAAATGAGATGAATTATTTTTAGAACCGTATGGAATACTTAAAACAGGACATGGTAACTTTAAATTTCTATATAGCCACTGACAATTCCAGCATTTACCAAGCGTCTTGAGAAGGTTTATCATTTCGTTACCAATAGATCTTAATTCTGCTTCATGCTGGCGTCGAGTCCAAACCTCAATTACATCATACTGGCCTTGCAGTGACGAAAAGAAATACTTTAAGTCAATATCAGCACGTGAGTTAACTTCAGTGGATAAACCTTTGTAAGCTGGAATCCAAGAGTTAGTAATGGATGTATGAGTCTGTGATAGTCGATTCTTGAAAGATAACACTTTTTCCATAACTAAATGAAGATGCCTAGTTACATCAATAGTTAGATATTCAAATAGACGAAAAGATGTTTCAACAAAGAGAGAGAAGTTAAACTTTGGTATAACAGTTGACAAATGAACTATTTTTTTCATATATTTGAGCGACTCCATAACCCATTGTTTGGAGTTTAGTAAAGTCAAGTTTTCATCATTGCAAGACATAATATTCCGACTGTAAACTGGACCAAATAAGAATGCATTTTTTGTTAACTGGCGCAAAATATGGTATGTACGTTCCAATAGGTTTATTAGATTGAGAATATGAGGGTTAACCTCTTCATTAAATATGCGACCAATATTATCCCGAGCAACAGCTTCTGATTCGAAAAGACGTGCGCGACCTCGAGCAATACGTAAATAAGGTAGTTGCTGAGTGTCGCTACAGTGGGTTTTTGAAAGTTCATATCTTGCTCTTAAACAGGCGCCAGCTGACATAAGCGATGCATAAGAATCACGTAATCTGCACAAACAAATAGATACAGCTTGATGTAAACGTTGCATGATAATGAACAGATTAACACATAACCGTTCATCCGACAGGAGATTGAAATTATGATGCACACTTGGCTTGGTACCAGTGAAAACATGAATGCAAGTGTTATAAAAAGAATTAATAAGCAATCCAAATCCCGCAATATGATAAATGGGCAAACCGATATTCGTTTCCAATATAGTTGTAAGTGATTTGGGAAGACAATCAGATAACTTTGTATACAACTCCAAGTCATGATGGCCATCATGTAGGTTATAAACTGATGAACTGTTCGTAGAATCGTTTTGGTTTGTTTGTATTATTGGTAACAACGAAAGCGCACTTGAAATTTGTCCATGTTTAATAGAGAAGGTTTTTGCAAAGTTTAAAATACGCTTCTTTGCATCTGGTTTAAAAATTAAATATGATAATGTATGGAGCAACATTTTTGGACAACAATTGTACCAAGTTTCATGTGACGGTAAACAGCTATATGTAACAGCTAATATTTCTTTCAAAATATTATCAGAATACCAGTGTACAATAAATAGTCGAGTAGATTTTGAAACAGTGCATGAATAGTGTGGTAAAGAAATCGATCTTAAAGGTGATAAACCAGTTGATGTATAAATATGAATATCACCTGAAGGTATTTTTCGACAATAATGTCGACAATGTTTTAAAACATTTCTTAAAACTAATTGATTTCTACGATTTACTAGTAATAAATATAAAATTCGCAAGACATCTCCAAGTAACAAATGAGATTTCATTTCACTTCTAAAATAGAAAATTTAAAAGTAAAAATTTTCTATTAGAAATCATCGGAATATCTATTTTTCAGTAAAGAAGACTTTTAGATTAATTTCTATAAGGTTATATGACAATGCTCACTCCGATCGCTTAAAGCAAGACAGTGCAATGTTAGCAACTTCACTTTTAAATGGTTCATAAAAACTAGATTTTCGATTCATTGTTTTTCGTCAATAAAATTTATTTATTTGATTGAAGTCATTTTATTAATGTTAATCAGATATGAACATGTGGAAATTACGACTTTAAAAATTGTTGACTACCTTAATTCATGGATTTTAAGTAACGGTAGAAAATTTTGGAAAATACGCAGCTAACGGGACAGATTTTATTCACAAGAAGGTTATGTATCACTGGTCGCGAATAATTTTCCTTTTGAGGGAGGGGTTGGCTATGCTTTTAAGCTGGTAGTTTTTTCAATTGGTGTGACTAACCAGGAAATACAATTACTAACACAGCATTGAAGTTAATTTCATATCCCAAATACAACCACCGACTTATTCGAGTAACTGATGAACCTTTCTTATATTCTGATACATAACTAGACGCTAGATAGTACCAGGTACAACATTTCTGTTTATACACCTACCAAAACAGTATTACAACTGAGATGTAGTATTGAAGTAGCTTTTTCTATGTTTTCATCTGACAGTAATTACATTAATTAATAGTTAGCATCTTAGTAAACAGGATCTTGTTCCTAAATAATGATAAATATACGTGAAAAAATATATAGTTGCTGAAACTAAGATCGGCGACAGCACGATTTAAATAACAGCATAAAACACTGACATATTTGTCTAAAAAACTATCACTGATATATGATACAGTAATGTGATTATTCTATACAGAGAGATTTTCATTTGAAATAATAATAACAATTGTGATACATCACGAAAAATCAAACGAGCAAAGAAAACCCCGTGAATTATCATAAACTAGAGAAAAAGAAAAGCTCACTTTTCATATCTTGATGCATAAGTATAAACCCAGTGTGGAGTCTGTGATAATTTTGCTTCTGGGTCTCTATCGAAATCAAGTGAAGAAACTAATCGAAGTCCAGCAGAATCTTCCGTTGACCGCAATTTCCATTTCTAGTAAAATAATGCAAGTAGGGGAGGAAAAAAGAAATATTGTTTAAAAAAGAAGAAAAGGAAAATCATATACACATTTTGATGAACAAGTTTGAAAAAAAATTTAACCATTCTATCCACAAAGTGTGTTAGTAACAAGGCGAATGAGAAATATATTAATTTAGTCTTTACTTTTAAGAATTGTTAACTCTGCTTGTAGCCCCTCTGGTGGCTACTGCCCGTTCCAAGCCCGGATAAAAGAGGAGGGTTGTACATGAGGTTAGCAACCCCATCCCGTAGAAAACTAACTCGCTAAAAAAAACGCTAACCATAAAAATTTAAGGAATGTTACATCTACTGTCAGCGGTACTGACTTTGAGGATGTTTTGAGGAAAAAGTATCTGAAAGACTAACACACTGTCTGTAAGTATCAATCCCAAGGTTGGGCTTGGTAGTTTCGAATAAATCGAGCATTAGTTAGAGAGTTAAGAATAAATATATTTTAGTGTTATATCCGAATGAGTAGAAAATTTTATTTCTGATGTTTTGTGACAATGTGAGCCACTTCTTCGGTTATTTATTTACGCTGAGGAAGTGACTTAGACAAAGTCACGAGACATCGCAAAAATATAATTTTCTACAAATCGGGATATAACAAAAAATATTTATTACACACTGATTAAGAAAGTAGTATAATAAGGTGAGAAACAGGCAATTAAATTCTCAGTATAGGGTTATGGAGATTGTTGAGTTTCATTGAAATCATGAACGACTGAAGAGCTGGAAGTACTGAACGATCGTTTCACCCCTGTTTAACATACAGTAGCAATAATTCCGCTTTTATCTACTCTGTATGAATGCTTTGATATGGCAAAAATGTTAGGCTACTATGATGCTAATTTGAAGTGTGATAATTTTTCCCATAGATATATATCGTTATAAACATCATGTTTATTTTACGAATCATATGACATTGCACAACAGGACTGTAAATCAATTGTCCAATAATCATAAACAAGGTTCTAAACTTGTTCATGAAGTTGTATTTCAAAATATATCAAATTAACTACTTAGGCCTGTTTTTTATTCGATTATCATATGAAATTATTTTGTAGAATTATAGTTAGCAATCGATAAACCATAAAGATGTTGATATCAAATGCAAAGAAACAGACCACTTACATAGTTGGCGGTAACTTGGGACCTGTATAATGTAGACGGTCTGGTTGTTTTCCGGAGATTCTTACAAAACTGACGAGATCGGTGACGAAGTTGATTGCTTTCAAGAGCACACGGATTTTTGTAATGTGGAGTGGCTGTAAGACAGAGTGAAATCATTGAGATTGATGATCACGTTTTAGCCATTAGGGAGAAATATAAAAGTTCGATGTTACATGTGGTGTAATACGCTTGTGGTTGGTAATCATTTTAAACACATTCTTACAACAACCACTGACTTTATTCTGAGTATGTTTATATCATTATTCCAAAGTGAAGCAGGTACTGAGTGTTTACTCTTACCCAATTTATCTACAGTTCATTTGAACATTATATAATCATTCATTATTTATTTTGAAACGTATCATTACCTTGTATTTTATGGATTTAATTGAGACCCACAAATTTCTTCGAGTGCCTCAGTTTTATTCTTTGGTACTATATGGATGTTTCAATTTATTATTAAAAGTCCCTTAATTAATGAGATCAACCTTATATCATACAAAGAATTTTTTTGATTTATTAATCAAAATTTAAATACTTTTTTGTTTTATAGGACTAGGGGTTCAACTAAATCGTGTGCAATCAATCACATCCCTCTGATCACTTAATTAACCAGAACCACATAACACCAAGTGTATATTAAGACAGAAAGTACAAAGTAAGCAGAAGTGGTCCCTACAGCATAAGTTATTCACTTATGTAGTGTATCAGATTGTGTCTGTCTTCACAAGCTAACCAATCACAGAATACACTGACTAGGCACCAAATAAAAATTGCAGTAATGAATAAATGAAGTAAAGGTGGCATCTATTTTGACTATTTATAATCGAGAAGATGACATACAAAACACTGAATACATCTATTAGTCACTGATTACGGAACACTGAATAACGAGAAATATTGACCTTAAATAACGTCATACAGAACGAGAGGTCGCTCCCATTACTCTTGATGAAGTCCATAATGAACCGATAGAAAAATTATTGACCTAAATTAATAACATTTTTTTACCCTATCATATCACTATATTTCATGGATTAACAACTGCTTTTATACAATTGGCTAGTGGTTAATAGCTGTGGTCACTTATAGGAGGATTAAAATAACATCAGTCCATTAAAATATATATAAGTATTCGTAAATAAATTAACAAAATTATCCCATTTTAAAAAAAATATGTATGTACATATGACGAAAGTATTTTTATGTATATTGAAATACAAGAAATAACAATAACTACATAGAGAACTGTTGATTGCAGACATGTCAGCTTCTTTCACAATAAGCTCTATATATGAGATAATTGTAATCAACTGCCAAAGACTTTAAATGTTATCATCCCAAAAATGATTATAGTGGTATAGATGAATCTGCTTATTATATTCCTTTAAAAATTGAATACTGTAATTTTTATCCATTTTATTTGTTATGTTTACTTAGGTCTTCCGCTTTTCTTTTTGAAGTTTCCCACTATTGTTAGTATCTTTATATCTTATTTGTTGCATTTTTGGTGTCTTCCCGTTCTGTACTGATAATCGAAGTTTGGTGAAAGTTAAAATAATGCATATTTATGCCATGTAGAGGTTAAGAGACTACTAGAAGTAAATCGAGTGCGATTTAAATCAGAAACTTAGCATTTAATAATGGTACCTAGAATAATAAGTCGGAGCTACACTGATTGTCGGGTATGCAGAATGGAACTGCAGTGAATGTCGAGTTGTTCAATCCTTGGAATATAAGTGAAACTTTCATTTACAGTTCCACTAATACACCTTCCAAAAACACGGACTATACCATAACTACCTACATAGTTGGTTTCATCATACTAGTGACAAAATATGCATAAAAATATTCATTACCTACATGGACCACATTTTTCCTCTTCATCCTAAAAATGAAAAGGACAAGATAAACCGTAAGGTTCAACAACTATACAACATAGTGGTTAAAATGTAAAAAACTAATAAAATCGCATATATCATTTCTCTTCATGACACATATTTAGATTGAATATTATTAACCTTAATTGAATTTCTCAGCAAAGTATCACAGGAACGGGCGATAATCAGGATCCAGTTGATAAGTGGTGGTTCGACTCTGGCACAGCATAAAATTGAGATCTTCAGGAAATAGATTCTAATTTTCATAGGTTCATGAAATAAGCGCACAGAAAAATAACTTTAAGAACAGACTGACAGAACAAATTTACGGCGCTTAAATAGAATTTCTAATCAGTGCATTTGGGCTTTAGAATAGGTCAACATCGAAACTGTTTTAAAAACAGCTGCTACATTTGCCTGTTAGTCGGTAGACATTACGATGTACAGTATTCCTGGCTTTGGAATGATCTCATTAGTTGTAAAGTTGAACGATAACACTTACAAAACAATTTTTAGTGACTTAGGACAACTCGAATATTTTAAGTTTTATCTGAGATTATCTGTTGAGTGAAATACAGATTTAAATTTAAGTTAGATATATCATCCAGCATGTGATAAAAAAACATATAATCCAAAAGTTAATATAAAATATTGTTCAGAGTAATAAGAAACAGTTTTTGAATAAGTCTCTGTAGATCAGTCATAAATAGTTTCGCTGAGGCTAGGGTTGGTGGACATGGTGCGTCCGCCTAGGGGAGTTGGAAATCCCTGATTCCAAACCAATGATGCACATGGGCTCCACTATCCTGAGGAAACAAATGGCGTATGAATCAATCGTTGGTCACCGGCTACCATGGGACTGCATTTCCTCACGATGCTCCATTGCCTTGTGGATCAGATCTTTAGGTCAAAGGCTTCGGGTGTGGCCCCCTAAGAAAATCACCAGCTTCAGATTGGGCATCTGGGCAGTATCACAGCCCTCACACAAATCAAATGAGATTTGTGCGGCGCATATGTATCTGGTGCTTCCTTGTACCAATATTTATGTGTTCAAATAAAATAAATAAATAATGAGGCTAGGAAGTAATTAATCCCCACCATCGGTGCTGCTTCAGAATAAAAGCTTCTACATAGTATTAAAAAAGGAAAATAACTTGAAACCGTCTGACGCTCCAAGACACTAAAACGCAATATGATAGCAAAAGTTTTAAAGATCTTTGATTTCAGGACTGATATTTGTTATGTTGTAAACGTTTACTGTTATGTTAAGTAATGGATAAAATAGAAACACCAACTTACAGAAAGAATCTCAATTACATCTGATTCATTCGTAATTGGTGTATGGCTTTCAGATTCCTTTGATTGTATGATTTTGTTCACAGATTGTGTAGCGAAATCTTGTGTTCTCTTTTCTGATGAGTGACTTGGTTTGTTAACACTCAGATGACGTAATTGAGCCTTCGTCCGAGGCCGGTTCATATTACTTATCATCACAGTGTTATTTTTAGCAAGTATTGCAGATGGATTTAGAGTGAAATGACTAGCATCTATCTCCATGTAACCGTGATCGGAAAGCTGACGAGGTGAAGTCTTATTAAACTCTGAGAAATTTGCTTGTTTGTCAGATAATTTTGATGGTGAACATAACTTCGACATTGCCAAAGCCAACTGAATAGGGTATCTTAGTAGTGTACATTTTTTATGAACATACTCTCGTAAAACGGGATCCTCGTTATATGACTCGCTAAGACCATTAGTTGATAAACTGAGAGGAACCGAAGGATAATGGTGAGTACCGAGAGGTGTTTCTTGAATAATGGTCATACGCCTAGACGAAGCAGATAGTGCATGGAGATCCCCAATTTGTGAACCAGAGGTACGATTTACAGAAATATCACTAAAACATCTATTTTGATCTGAGGAAGTGTAAGACGTGGTTGGTGATCTATACTTAGAATTCATAAAATCAGCACTAGCACCAATTACATTTGATATACATACTGTCTGTGAAGGGCCTGGAGTAGGATTTGGTGAAGTTTGAATATCATTCCTAACTGATGAAATGGCTTTGCAAATACTTGTTTTCTGACTCAACAAGTTATCAGTATGATCATCATCATGAATCAGCATAGAACTAACGGTTTTAATGCTACTGATAACAGTTTGATTATCAAGGTGTACATGAGATGTCGATGCGTCATTAGCCTCAGGCTTGATTAATATTGAAATATTACTGTCATTACCATGAGACGCATTTCGTGTACGCGGAATTGTATCATCTAAAAGCGATAAGTAACGATACAAATATAATGAAAATCCTACGGACTAATAAAAGGCTGAATATTGTGTAAATAATCAAAATTGTAAAGGAATATTGTGGAACCGATGTTCAACGTTCCTATCATACCGATATTTAAAATCAACCACCCTGTCCTTCTTTACTGAATAACCTCAAGTGATAACAGTCTAAGATGTTAAATCAGGTAACTGACTTTATAAAAAAAACCTGAAAATTAAGCGAGATAAATTTTCTAAGCTTGTGTTCAGCGGTTGTGTCAACTATCCAGAGATGCAACGATAGTAACTCGAACAGTATGGTCGAATTAATATCGAATATTCTTTCCAGTAGTGAAGTGTTTTTACTTCAGTCTAAAGTGCACCATATGAATGTGAACCACAGAGAAAGAAAATCTTTCAACTCAACAAATAAGTTATTAAAGCTTTTCGGGAAATTAGTGAGTCATGATTAACCTGGAGACTGATGCAAATTTGCGTTAGACCAAGTAGCCGTAGCGAGACATACGATTAAACTAATAGAATGAACAAATAATTAGGAATACTGGTAGTATCAGTGATACAGTGAATGATGGAACATTTAGAACCTGAATCGAAAAGAAGGAATAGAGAGAAGTGTATGAAGATACTAGAACTGAAGATTTAAGAGGGAATTAAAAAATGGATTTATTTGATCCCCTGCAACTGATTTTGACATGTCATTCGAAGTCCTCCTACCAAACACTGATAGTGGTTATCGAACAGACTTCCAGGAGACATACATATAGACTCCAGCTTTCACACTTTAACATGCAGTGATGAAATTAACGGAAAGATGAAGTTACTAAAATTAACAATAGAGGTCAGAAATAAATGTAATGATATTAGACTCTGAATTGAGATTTACTTTGAATGATCATATAAGTTTATGGAAGGATGCTATTCCATCTTTCGGTTCCATCATATTATAGGCTACTCTAGTGCATCGGGGTCAAATTACTGTGAATGTGTAATGCATGTCCTAACCACTACAATTGATAAAGGCTAGACTGAGTATTTATATGTTTTATGCGTTTAAATAGGATGCTTCACTGCCACAGTAATACAAAGCAAAGTACTGAGTAGCTATACTAGCTTTATGATAGGCAAACGGACAACTCATCTGATACACTGGTAGAGCAAACTGGCAAAAGTTCAACATTTTGTATTTATGCCAGTACCCTGTTAATATGAGTCCACTATTACTATATATTGGGTGTCTATTTATGTGTGATAAGATTGAGTAACGGGGTTGAAGCCTATGCAGTGAATTGCAACAGCAAATGCCAGGTCAGTTGACTATGCAAGTGGAGAGGTTATGGATACATTGCATGATGTTTGGGTAACTGGTGGGTCACAAACTCGATCTATAGACAGTGTACAAAATGAGACTTCAGCTGGGATTAAGCAAAAAAAAACTAGACAGTCAGGATTATAGTCGGTATGACATCAATAACATAAGTATGTCCGGATATGATTAAATATTCGGAGTACAACTAATCTCAAATCAGAAGTCGGATAAGACTAATAGATGCTTACTGGTTGTGTCAACTGGGATATGTTACGAAATCCATTTTCTGAGCAAGCTTTGTTATTATTCTGACTGCTCTATCTCCAAACACTACTCAACTATATTGAACCTTAAAAGCATCCATCTGTTAGCTTCTGTACAGAAGTGGCACTAGAGACTTGTAAAATGTACTACCAACATTAATCATCCTCATGAATTCAAAGACGTTAATACCTTGTGTTTGAATGGATTACATGTCAACAACCATATTAAGTAAATTTTTCCCAGCAAATTTATTAAGGTTACCAGTGGGTAGGGATTTGTTAAGCAACAAAGTTTATGGTGATGAACCTCCGTCTCATTTTATCGGGCGTGTACTAATTTCTGTGACCGCTGTACACTATTTAACTCAAAGAATCAACATTATTGTAGGTAATAAGTATGTGAATGTGGTAACGTCGCCCTATAGAATGGCATTAAATATTCTTTTATGAACCAGATTAATAAATCCAAGATCATTTAAAAGAAATGTTGCATGCAACCAGGTATGTCATTCATATACAGAAGCTAACAGATGGATGCTTTTAAGTTATAATATAGTCGAATAATGTACGAGGCTAGATCAGTTAAAATAATTAAGAAACTTGCTTAGACGGCACATGTCGCAGCAAGTCACGCACGCGCAACCATACAACAACAGTTTTGGTGTTGAAGAGCTATAAAGTTCATCTACATGAATAACATAGATTTATTGGATACTGTCTTTCGGAAACTGTTATCTGCGAAAAAGATTTTTACTTACATGTAGTAAATATGATGGTGAATACATGGTAAAAAATCCACAAATTTTTGCGAGAAAAATATTAAACCACATATACTGCATACAGATGTCGGGTGAGCTACTCAGGTCTTTATACTACTTAGCATGACTAAACTGCAGCTCGTTTTAGTTTAATAACAAACTTGTCATCCGTAAGATGACATACGCTGAAGAACCTCAGCAACCAAATATCAAATTTCAAACTAAACTCATGACTTAGGGATAATAAAATAGTCATCGTTACCAGAGTCGGTCAGACGAACAATGTGGAGATTAGGAAAGTTGAGTTAACCCAATTTTCCAAACGACATCAGCACAATGAAATTAATCTAGCAAGATAAGCAGTATATGGGTCGGAATAACTTTAATAGCAATGATAAGAACTAACAGTGAGAACAATTCCAGATAACAATAAAAAGGTATGTATGAAGGTGAACGAAGACGAAGATCTAGAGGGAAACAAATAAGTGGATGCATACGAACCACTTCGTAACTGACATACTTTACAAACCAAATACTTATGGCAAATCAGTACCACGGAAATGATTAATAATACGGTCAGCTAGTTTGTATGGCAGTGAGTGAACGTCGCTTATCTGTATCTAGCCTCAGTGAAAACAACTTCGAGTGCAGCTAACTGTATCAATATTGGTTAATCACTTCTTCGTCTTGGAAACAAGACGTTTATGTTCATTGGAAAATTCAGCATTGTTATTGGACAGCTAGAACAGTAGCACATACCTGGAAGAAGCTAAGTATTCAAGCCTATACATGTCAACCAATCTGTTGTGAGAATTACGCTACATCTGCGCATTTACCCATGAAGAGCAACTAGAGTTGTAACGATACACCTAACTTCATCAGGAAACGATTATTTTTCCATACAAAACTCAGAATCTGTAATTTGTATGAAGAGATATGAGTCTACTAAGAACGGCAACGTTTAATGTGATAAGATCGTGCCGAATATTGCACGGCACGAGTACTGTAGAGATGTCTATACAAAATAGCGTTATGGAAACTTTTCGAATTTTTTTAGGAGTGGTTGAGATTAAGCATTTCGCCAAAATATGTCATGCACTGCCTTTGATGTTAAAAAGTATCAGGTTGGTATCTTCATACTAGAGAAATCAAGGTATCCACATTAAAACAGCACGTTCATTGAAGTGTGCGTCACAAATGTGCTTCAATGCAAACGTAAGTGAAAAATAAACAAAATGTGCGCCACATTTTTGCGTAACGTGATAAGCACAAAGGTAATCTATCAAACATCGTGCACACTTATGACAATGAAGACCAAATGAAACGGTGGGTCTGCTAGCGCCTTCACAAAATCAAAAATACGTGACGAGCGATCATATGGTAAAGATATTAGCAACAAACCTTTCTCAGACTTCACTAACGTTCTCAATGCATCAAAGAGATTGCGTGGGCGACCTGGTTCGGATGATGACATTTTCAAATTGAATTTGAGGCAATAATATGCCAACCACAAATCAAGTATGGTATTCTTCTCATGATATAACTATTAGTAAATAATGTTATTGTCCTGTTAGGTTTTTCTTATAAGTTGTTTAATCTAGTTAGACATCATGATTTATTTGGCGGGTCTGATGACTTGTGCGTTGTTCTACGCGATACTTAGAATGCCTTGGCTGTATTTCTGTTTGTTGCGAAAATAATCCAGCCGTTTACTGTCCCTTTCATAACGTGTACGTATGCAGATGTGTGCGCATAAGTCGATGAAACTCCTGAATTTGTGCAGCTCATCATCAGTCATAGAAGTCATCTGTTTTCATCGTATATTCCAGGTATTATTGCCTTACCAAAGTTACTCATACTGTCTCACCCTGTAAATGGCACTTAGAAGTGCTGTACTGCCTGAAATATACTCGTCAAACTTATCCCAGTCATCGAAACGTCAGTGATCAAATCTAACTTATCTAAAAGTATCTTATCAACTAGATAACATCAGACGTTTCTTAGTCTGCAGTGTTATTTCGACTGTGATTTGTCTTGATAAACCGATTTGAATGCTAGTGTATAACTAGTCTTACACTCTTATGTATGAATGTAACTCAATACTTTTTCCACATGGAAAGAAGTAGTCAAATAGGTAGTGGACATACCCAACCTCTTATTATATGTATTACTTAATGTCGTTTCTATATATGGCATCTATAGTCTGATGCAGTACCATAGAAAGACTTAAGTTTGAAATGACAACTATTGTTACTGTTCTTCTTATGAACCATGATATTAATCATAACTGAAATGCAAATAATATAATAGCTTAAACCTTTGTATACCAGTTTCTTAAAAACTGTCATGATTAAGAACTCTAAGAAATCAATACGTTTGGCCTAGTATGTACGTACAATCGAAACTGTTGGATGAGAAAAATTATTAAGGATAACTCCTTGTTCATTGTGAATTTTTACACTGCTGTAAATTCTCATTAACTTCTAGATTTCTAGTGCATCTCTACTTTCGCTTTCCCATGGTCCTTTGTCTAAATGGATCTTATGGAGTGTGTAAAACGTGGTAGCAACACATCTTAAGGCGTAAGCCAGTGCTTTACTGAATTTTCTCATCATTACCGCTATATTTGAACGTTATTTTTGTTCGATATCCTATTGCGCAAACATTTTGGAAAATTTGATAAATCCAGATCTCTGGCTTGTGCGTCGTCATCAGAAAAACCACCACTGACATTTAGTCAAATACCATGTATTTATCATAGTTGAAAGCGTGAGTCAATTGAAGCTAGACCACCATGGAAAACCTGGACGGCCGTTTCGTCCTACTATGGGACTCCTCATCTGCGCGCATCAGCAAGCCCGCTCTCACGAGATTCGAACCCAGGACCTACCAGTCTCGAGCCGAAGCCATTAACCGACAGACCACTAAGCTGGCATCCAACGGTGTTAATGTCTATCTTCAACTGATCCACTGCTGAGGAGTCCCGTAGTAGGACGAAACGGTCGTCCAGTGTTTCCATGGTGATCTAGCTTCAATTGACTCACGCTTTCAACTATGATAAATACTAAATCTCCACAAAACCTTTTCTATAATTAATAAAATACCATGTAATCAAACGTTACTGGATGGTCAGTGCTGCTAGTTAGTGCATGATCCACACAATGTGGACGTTTGTTTATACTAGCTGACATCACATTGAATTACACGACGTGAATTGCAGATGCGAGCAGCGTCTTATTAACTTCTTCGTTCTAACACAATCAATGTAGAGCAAAGGCATTCGTTTGATTATTCGCAAGTTCTTCATATTTGTCTGTACATGTCAATGTCTAGCGAATGACAAGAAAATTAAAAATCCGTATATTTAATACGGGAAAAATAAACTTGGAGGATTTCTGGTTTTAGCTTCGTGTGAATGATGTTTGATCTGTAGAAAACGTCTATTACTAATAGGAAGGCAATGAATAACATTTTTATTTGTTTAATGGGAAACACTAAAAGCAGTAGAGTGAGGTGGTTCGGATGAACTTCTTATGTATCTATGCACGAAGAGTTGATACTTTTTTATACGCTCATTATTATACCTCTTGAGATATCCTTTGTTGGGGTAACTAAGAGTTCGGCACTATACTACATTCACCTTGAATTCAATTGATAAAAGCAAGGTCAAAGCGCTTCGTCAATTGTTTTTGGAGGGTTTTAAATCAATATAATGAAGTGAGAGAAATAATTATCAGAATATCCATCTGGAAATATTTTAGTACATTTGTTTAGACTGTACGTTTTTTGCCTCATAATCTCAAATCTCCTTGCAGATAATTTATGTATAAACAAACCTGTTAAAAAATATCATGGGACAAAGCATTATGACTGAAGTCCTCAGTCTAATTTCTCATCATAGTCTTATCTTGCCAAGTGTAACAAAAGTATCAGTAGCAATTATTGTAAGTAGCTTTGGATTCTGATATCACGAAAAAAGAGCGTTTACATTACCTTTTCTATGTGGATTATCAGTGAACAGTTCCTTACACTGTGTTACCTTCATTTGCCAAACAAACTGCCCCCTATTTCTGTGACATCTAAACGAGGAATCACTAGTTGTTCTAGTGGGGTACTATAATCCATTTTCGTATTGTAAGAAAGCGGGACCCTACTTAACAATAGTTTTCTTCTCGAACCTGTTGTGTTCTGTCAGTTTCGTTTACTCTATTGTACACAGTTATTATTTCCCTCATTATGAACACAACCGTTTGTCCTCAAAGCTTCATCCTAAATACTTGTGGATAATCTGTAACCTGTCTTATGATGTAGGAAAGTTCGTTGCTCGAAAATACTAGTCATGCTACTTGCAGCAAGCCCCCATATTTAATTCTACATAGAATTCGGTCACTTTTGAGTCCTAAATCCATACTCTATGATATGCATTGTGTAAAACAAAAACTAGAGGTCGTAATTTCGCATCTAATACTTACTTTTACCCCACTTTTAAGAACAGGAATTATAATAAGATCAATATATTCAATATGCTTCTGGTATTTTACATTTTCGGTACAGTGATATTCGTTCTTTGTGGTCATAAATTGCTCAAACTTTCCTTGAAAACTGTATTCATGATTGATTTGCTTGTTTGTTTATAAATTATTATCACTATCTAAAAAAACATCCACATAAATTTAGTTGTCTTTACAAAGATATTTTGACGTAAAATTATATTCGCTGAAAAATTGTGTTGTAAAATTATATTCAAGCTCAGTACATATCGGTTCAAACTTTACCACTTCGATAATAAGCGATCTCCAATCGAGTCAATATATTTCACCTTCAAAATAAATTTTGTGGTTTATTACATCGATAAAACTAAATTGAATGAATTAAACAGTGTGCTTTGTCTAACCCCTAAGACTGTTGACAACGTACGCTAATTATGGTAATTAAGACATGATTTAATTCAGATGAAACACATACAGATGTTAGTTAAATAGTAGCTGAATTACATGTACGTCTTCGTATGTTTAACTGATGGGTTTTACTGCCGGCTTATCTGTATTAAATTAGTACTGCTAATTGATTTAAACACCTTTGCCATTACGTTGCCTCCGGTGAGATAGTAATTGAGTCACGACACAAAGCGTTATTAAATACAGTTTTTGGTGGAACAGGCTTGCTCCCCAGACAGTTTGAGTCAGAACGAACGATAACTTAATGCATAGGTATGTGTAAGATTCAAGTGAAAGTCAAGAGTGTATATATGAGTCATCACATGTGTATATGAAAAATATCCTGAACCAAAAATGCAGAACCTAGCTTGAACGACACAACGTCACTAGACAAAGGTAAAGATATTCATAAACGCATACACAGACAAGAGCTCGTAATTGCTTGTGTGTACAAAATAATTTATAAATTCATACATTAGGTAGCTTAGCATTTATCTCATATCTTTCTTAACATTACTGAGAAATAAAGATTCTCAGAATAACGGGAAAGAGTGGAGTGGTTATCGTGCAAAGTGAGCAATGAGCTCAACTGGAGTTGGATACTTTCTTGTGACTTGATATTACGACTCTTACTTCGGTGCTAAAAGTCATTCATCGGGCGCATTGAAGTGACTTCGGTACGTGAATTTAGATGCAGTACCTTTCAGATAAATCTTCATAGGATTAAGTGTAGACTTGGATATTTCCGTAGTGAAAGTTGGGATAACGCTTGTGAACATATGACAACGTTGCCGGTCAGATCGTAATCGGGTTAAACTTTAATATACGTATTTATATGGAAATATTAAGTCAGCTCAGACAATTCTTGAGTCGATGATCTCTTTTCCATGAATCCATTATAAAGCTGTACGACTATATATATATATATATATATATATATATATATATATATATATATATATATATATATATATATATATGAAACCTCTTGTTGATGTATAATTTCCGTGAGCACATATGAACAAAGAATAAACATGATGGTTTGGTAGAAAGATTGTAATGTTAGATTATGTAATATGAATAATAAAAATAAAAAATTGTGTCCAAATAGAAAACATTGTTAAATTAATCCTTTAGCAACGGATGATCAAAATGTCTTGGTTACAATAGTTAAACGTAATATAGGGGTAAAAATGAAGTGATATGATGAACAAATTCACGGATAAAATCATGAGACATATTAATAAAGAGAGGGTGGGGTATTTCCAAATACGAAACCAAATAATAATAGTTTGAGATCAAGTTGACGATAACGACATGAAGTACTTCTGATGACACTATTGCAAGAGATCTGTAAGTTAAGAATTTTAGAGCTATACATTGCATTATCGCGTGATGATGCTGCGACATTGGAATGAATGCTCATATTAAGATTCTTCAAAGTATTTAGACGTGTGATTTTATATGAGACGACTTCCAAATCAACT